ATGACTCGACGGCCTGTGTCTGCTGTGGCACTGATAGCGCGCTCAACGGGTGATCATCGGCAGCCACTGTTGTGGTTGTTGTCGAGCCGTTCATCGCCGGTGCGGCACCTGATTGTTGCGATACACGTGTTTGAAAGACATTAATAACACCACACAAACAGCTGATCCGCTAATACAGACCTTTTGATTGTTTACGTCCGGCAGCGATGGTCTCGTTGTGCGGATTGCTTATCAAATGAGCCAAAGTGTGGCCATCGATGGTCTGGCCGTCGGTTTGGTCGCCCTTTTCATCGCTATTATGATTGTTGTTGTGATTGGCGTTTGAATCCATGGGTTGTGACAATCAATTCATACAAATTAAATGTAATCAACAATTGAAACAACAAATGCTGTAATCATTTGAATTGAATGTCTATTTGTGTTGTGTTTTCAAAGACAATATGTTTTACTGTCGACTCAATAGTGAAAATCACAACAAAAAACAAATGCAAATAAATTGCGATAAAAACTGTGTTTCAAATTGAATGTCAAATACTGTGCGAAACACAACACATTCAGTACTCGCTGTACATACAGTCTAACCCTTTTTTCACGCCTACACTCCTATGGATTACATGTAATTAATTAATTACTGTTGTATTCAATTTTTTTAATACATGATCACATCGTATCCATACAAGTGATGTGTAGTTTACCAACTCATATGTTTGTGATTTTTCTCTCCCCCCATAGGCATAGCATAGGGCAGAGTCTATGGCTGTTATCGCTGTGTTATCGACTGGTTTTTAGGGTAAATAAACCACCAAAAAGTTTTCACCGCTTTTCGCTGTGTATTAACGGCGCGTGATTTTTGTTGACACAAATGCTTGGATTTTCTATTGACTTTTTCTACAAACATTTGCCGTATTTTGTACTGTTTGTATGTATGCCTGTATGACGTCCTACAGTCAAAGCCCGTTATATATATGTTGCGGATTTACTGTTATTTTAATTATAAAATGGTATTTAAAAATGTGATTATCATAAGCGCTGATGAAATACGAGATAATGCTATTTATTTGCTGTATTTCACGTAATAATTATGTAATTATATGTATGTTTTGATCAGCGTTTGTAAAATTGGGTCAAAAATATGGTTAACTCATTGAGAAAGTGTTATTTTGTTTTACTGTAATGAAAGCCTAGAAACTTTGTTTAATGTATTTCGCACACAATATTTAATATATTACACGATATTATATAATATATCCGTCGGTGTTATACAATACCTGTGCAAACACTATGCAAACGCACAGTCACTTAAACGCCCACCCCTTACAACCGTATCGCACATACAGTTATATAATACAGTATTATTCTTATCCCTTATACAGAAATTATGAGTAATTTAAATTAACTAGACTAGTTTAGCATTTTGTTGGCTTTGTCCATGATAAATGACATGTATAAACTAGGATTAGCTTAAGTGATATAATAATTCCGGTATATGTACTGTTGATAATTTCCTGGCATATCATATATTTCTCTCTTATTATTCTCTAGTATTCTGTAGTTTTGTAATTAAATTTTGTTTTTTAATAATTTTGATTTTGTTTACCAAAGGATTGCACGGAATTTATAGCGAAATACTCGTTGACATTGAAAATAATAGACAGGTTTTTATTATATGTCGTATAATTTGGTATCAAATTTTGTTTTTCAAATATTTAATAGTGAAATAAATTTAATTTAATGAGTTATTCAACGCGTTTAATATGCATTTATGCACTAATGTTAGGCATTACTAAAATAATAATGCTTTTTAATATTAAATAAAATCCATTAAAATTAAGATAATAATTGAATTTGTTTTGAATAATTTAAACCCGCACTACAGGCCAAACAATGAACTGATATTAACTTTATAATTATTATCGTAATTATTTAATTGAATAATTTAATTTAATTGTTATTTTTTAGAATTGTTTTTATAATAATTTGTTAATGGAAAACCCATTTTAAATACTTTTTAATTAATCTAATACTTTGTCACCAGTGCGGCACCAAATACCCGTCTACTATAGCCAAGTATTGCTACGAGTGTGGCTCCAGGAGNATTGAATAAATATTTAACACTTAATATTGTAGAGAGAGAGAGAGAGAGAGAGAGAATTACAAAAATTAGTCGTCTGTTTTTGTAAAATCTATTTATTTATATCAATAATTAAAATGGAAAATAATTATTATTAAATAAATCCAGTATTTGTTGAGAAAAATTTTAAAGCATCATATAATAAATGGACGGATAGTTTATAAATAAAACATTACAATAATTAGGGATTAAGAATTATTTAATAAAAGTAATATATAATTAAAAATATAACTAATTTAGTTTTTTGAAAATAAAAATTGTTTTAAAAACAAGTAAATTCAAATCACATAATAATTAATGATAATAAACAGCAAATGAAATAATGAATGATTGATTAAAGAGAGCCATAAAACGAGAATATTCTTAAAGAATTAGCTATAATCTGAACGTTAAGGTGATATAAAGGGGCCGACAGTGCCCAACCTCCTGGAGCCACACTCGTAGCAATACTTGGCTATAGTAGACGGGTATTTGGTGCCGCACTGGTGACAAAACTTAGGTATCCCTCCATTAGCGCTACCACTGCCGGCACCGGTGCTCGCGGCCGACGAGGCCTGCGATCGGGTGCCCGCGTCCGACATCGAGTTAGCCCTATCTCTGGGCGGTGTGTGTATGGAAGACGAGTCGGCACTCGACCCACTGGTGCTGCCGCGGGTCGTACTCTCACTGCCCGTATGATTGTCGGCGAAGTGGTTGCCATTTCGGTGGCCATTGGTCTGGCCGTTGATCACAATGCCGTTGATTTGTTTGGCCTGTGATTTGGTGCCGCCATTCAGATACAAATCCTCGATTCTGGTCTTCAGTTTCATCAGCTCTTCCTCATCGCTAGACAATTGGTTGCCATTTGTGTTGTTATTGTAATGTCTTTCATATAAATGAGAGGAACGGCCAGAAATTGGAGCGAAAATAATGTGAAGAAAAAGAAAATTAAAATGAATTAACAAAACAATGCATAAAATGGGGAATAAAATTGATTTTTCTATTTTCTTATTTAAGTAATGAACGAGAAATATATTGTATATTAAAATTGGCATAAATGTGGTAAAGAATAAAAATTTGTGAATTGATTAACAATTTGTGGCGAATATATAATTAATTAAATGAAGAAATACTAATACTTGTTAAACAATTGATTTTAGTGCAAAACTCGGTGGAGAAGTCTATAGACATGTGAATTGATTTTTCGCAACAGAATATTCTTGACGTAATGTTAAGGAGTAAACGACATGTGATGTGCTATTGTATTGTCAGCAATATTTCATAATAACAATAATATAATACTAGTAATGAAACTATATATTCGTATAGAGATATGAAACCGCAATAGAAATCAATTCATTAAAGAAATAAAATGCAAATACAATGCGAAAAAAGAGATAACATGTATGTATTGCGTGAATTGTATTGAAAACAATCACTACTCTGTCTAACACTCTCTTATATTGTACTCAAAACCTCAAAATACGATATTGTATGACAAGAATAATTAAAATCTATATTTTATTTAGTTATTAGCACTAGCTATTAATTATTTGAATAACAAAATAACAATACTATAGCTATTGACCAAAAAATGTTGGACAAACACTCAATGAAAATGCGAAACATTTGTGGCCTCAAAAACACCGATACATATAAATTACTTCGTGAGGCAATAAATGGGAACAAATAGAGTGATAAACAAATAGTATAAATGTTGGACAATATATCACATTGTAATTAAGCTCGCTATTGAAATTCAAAGCATTTTTCTCACCGATAGACAGATAACATACTGACCGCATATTTACACACAAAAAATATAACAGAAAAAATCAATTAATCAAAAATAGTTGTACCCGTTTTGAAAGCCCATTTGACTGTCACTCTTGACGGGAGACATGCCTCCGGTGCGCACTCCGGGCACAGTCCGCGGGCCTCCGTTATACACCTCTGTCTTCTTCAAGAGTTCAATTATCTCACGATTTTTGGTGAAATTTCCGTCCAAACGAGTCATATTCGTGTGGTTCGGGAACTTCTCCTTAAACTTCATCACCGGTTCCGTGTGTTTGATGAGCTGTTCGGCTGAGCCCACGGGTGAGTTGTTCTTTGGCCGCGACAACGAGTTGATCCGATTCTGTGTGTATTTAGTGGTCGGCGGCGACGGCGGTGTCTTTCGGGTGCCGTTCTTTGGCTGCGGTTTGGGTGACATCTTCAGCGAGTTTGGCGGCGACGGCCTTACGGTTGTTGTCTTGCGATTCACGGGCGGTGTTGGCGGTTGCGATCGGGCGCCCGACGCCTGTGATCGTTGGGCCGCGGCTTTAGTGCCGTTGGTTACGGCGCCGGCCGACACTTTGGTGCCATTGGTTGCGGTGCCGGTCGTTGTCGAGCCGATAGGATGGGCCGGAGTTTCCGTTTTGGGCGATGATTTGCTTGCTTTCGGCTTATACTGAGATTTAATTATTTGAATAATAAAATTATTATTATTTTAATATAACTTTTATATATTTTTTCTGTAATTTTGATTGAGTTGACACAAAATTATATATCAATAAATCTAAAAGTTATTTTCAATGGTAAACATGTTTAGCAAACAGAATATTCTCGACTACTAACTGAGTGTTTAGGTTATTCTGTATATATATATATCGTTCAATATATATACGGGACTATTGAGAAATATTTGCAACATTTAGTATTGAATTAACATTTATTATCCATTAGTAGATTATCGTATGATAACTATTAAACAAAACAACAATAACTAACAGAGAAAAGGGAGAATTCAATGCTCATGAAGGTAACAGTGAATTGGCAACAAATCTGTTTTGCCATATAATTAATATTACTTTTATGTATTGATTTTACATATCTATGATATATATACCTATGATTTTTGTACAGAATATATAAATAAAACCAAACAAAATAATACTTTTTATGTAATATGGGTTGCAATCGATGCCAATCACTGAATAGTCACAGCATTCATATTGTTATTAAATTTTATATTCATTTTGTTTATTGCTTTTAAAAGTAGAGGAAAAATACTTTTCATGTTTATATTCATAGGAATTGAGAAAATGATTTATTATTTACTGCCAAACAATCGATTGGATATTATTTTTTTATAATTAGTTTTATATATGGATTATAATAGTAAGTCATTTGAACATTAATGAAGAAATTGTTAGGAAAAACCATAATGATTTAATAATGATTAATGAATGTAATATATGAACGTAAATTAATGCCAAAACTGCACTATTTAAAAAACAAAATTTTATATATTTATCAAACTATATATCATTATAATTTATAAATTATATTTATGTTATTAAACTATATTTAAAAATAATATAATTTCTAGTTATGCCATGTTTGATAATGACATTCAAATTTAAATTATAGTCAAAAAATACTATTAATAAATACTATTGAGAAATATTATACGTATACCCTAATTATAATTTTAAGCATAATTTATGATGGTGTTTATGTTAAAACTATTCTAGATATATATTTCTTCGTAAGAAAATGCTTTATAACTCCCACTAATAAACAACAAATAATTAAATATTGCAAAAAGCATTAAAACAGTCGGATATAACAAATTCATAAAAAAAAGTCTAATATAAAGCAATTAAGAAAATAATACTAACTACTACTAATACTACTATTTATAAATGTTATTTAAAAAGTTACTAAACAATACATTTGTCTTCTAAAATGTTTTATTATTAAAAACAACAAAATTACTTAAAAAATTATTCAATCAATATTAAAATCAATAAGCAAAGTATATAAAATAGAAAAATGTAAACATGGTAAAATCATTTGGCAAAATATATAGAGTGGTCACTCACTTTAGTGCGGGCTTTCATGCGCTCTAAGGCCATGGCGTTGTTGGCCGAGCGGGGGATCCGTGCCTTCTGTTCGCGACACCACTGTATGTGTCGATCGGCGGCTTTGTTGGAGAAATTGCGGCCACAAAAGTCACACACTATGTAACCGACGGGCACTCGAGGGCCGCCGCTCTCGGCAGCCACGCCATCAGCCGCGGGCTCATCCACTTTCTCACCCCTCGCCGCCCGCACTGTTCGCAGAAACTCTTCGTGTTTTGCCCTCCAATTGGATGTGCTGTTGGCTGTGGAGGCAGTTGTGGTCGTCTTATGCTTGTGGTCTGTGTGTCCGGCCGTAGGTCTCGATGGCGGCGTCGACACCGGGAAGCCATTGACGGCCTCCAAATCGCCCCTTTGTTTATGGGAATCAAATTGTTTCCGTCTTTTCTGCGATTCTTTAGTCTTATTGCATATGATTTGATGTTTTTCCTGAAAAATGTTGGATTGTTTTAATGGATAGTGTTTTAACTGATTTTTAATATTGATTTCTCATTCTTACTGTATTTATTATAACACATATTGATAACATTTAATAAAATGACAAAATTATTAATTATAAAACACAACTTATCATGATTTAAATACAAACAGTATTACAATTAATTTTTAAATGAGGGTTTAGATATAGGTTTATTTTGTAATTAAAAATTAAATTACTACCTGTTATTAAATGCATGAATTTCTATTATTGACGATAGCATACAATTTTACCGGCAAATTGTAATTGAGATAGAGTTTGGTTTTTATTATTAAAAGGTAATTAAATATTTATTAGCCTTTTGGGGAAGTTTTCATTTCGCATAAATTCATTTGTCTTATCAGTAAACATATGGAGAGTTATATAACTTGTATAATAAACGAGTTCATTAACCATATACCTAATGAATGTCATCGATTTGTTTTTTAGCAATACTAAAATGCATAATCAAATATTTATTGCAAAAAATTAATTAAAACAAAATAATAAATGAAACAAAAAATAGGTCCAGAATTTAAACAAAATTCCGGTCCAAATACACACTAATATATTGAAATAAAGTATATTATTGCCACAAAACCTAAAATTTAGTGCAATATTAATAAATGTGAATAACTATTACATGTATTATTTGCCAAAAACCTATATTATGGTAACTTATTGTGAATCGTTAACTCTTTAATAACGTTTATATATAAATACCGAGAAATATTTCACGAAAATTAATTGTATTCCCTTTGGTATTAATTCCGGTGCAATATATCTCTACTATTTAATACAATGTATGCACAGAATCTACAATACGGTATGTGCCATATATAGCTTATATACTATAACAATCTACAGGGTTGGGCATATATGACTGGAGTTTTAATTAATTTTTTTAAATACTTAGAGTTGAGATATTTTGTTCAAATAAATTTTGTTTTATTCACAAATAATGGCCGTTTTAGTGGAACTAATGGATGAGGTTCTCAAAGTGACCACATTCGCACACAATCAAATGCCGTAAAAAAGTGACAAAAAACCGGTACGTCGGTCGAATCTTATAAGTCG